GGCTGCCGTCTTGCAAGTCAGATCAGGCTCATTTTTGGTTTACACACTCGTGAACAGATGCTTTAGATACCCTAAGGGTACTAAACTTTTACTTTGATTTTCAGGTCAGGGTCAGGTCATCACAGGTCACAGAAATCTTATATCATAAGTCGGTCACGTGACACGTGTTGTATGGTCCATTTAGGCCATAGATTTCGAATTCGGTGTCGCCTGTGTCAATTGAGGCCATTTTCATCTGAATATAGCTGAGGTCAGGTCACTTTCAGGTAAAAAAGGTCAAATTTCAAAGTTGAAATTTTTCAACAAAAAACATGTCTGTCGGATGCAATTTGAGCTCAGGAACACGATGGTTCTATCTATATTGGTGTGCGATGTCAAATTCGTACTGAAAAATTGATTTGAAAAGTTTATAATTGCAAATTTTTCTGCAATAATGCGTATAACTTGGCCATTTTTGAAGATATTTAGCTAAAACTTGCTAGAGTAAGTTATCAGCATGTGGTCTATCACATATGTACCTACCGGTTGTTTCGAAAAGTCAAAAAGTGCTTGAAAAAAGGATAAAAATATAAATTTCAAATTTTATTATAAATAATTTTCAAAATTTTCAAAATTTTGAAAATCCGAGATGGCAGTTTGATAGCGCAGTCTATTCTGAGTCCTCTCATGCAAAGAAATTGGATCTATCTTAAAAACTGAGCTCTTGGGAGCGATAGCCGTGGTTCAATATATGTTTTGCGTCGAAATCGGCCGAACATGACGTCATTCTGACGTCATTTCCGGCCGACCTATGGTAGCTACAAAGCTCATATTTTGACACAAGGTGTCAAATTGATGCAGCCGAAGGTGCTGAAAGTTTGGCGTCGATGCGTCAAGCGGTTTGGAGGTTATTGCAGAAAAACGGGAGGGGGGCTATGAATAGCCCCCCCCCCAGTGGGGCGCGGGTTAATGGGGTCTCCCCATGCGTAGACGGGGACAACCGACAAGGTACGACGGAAATCTGCAACGATCCAGTTTTAAAATCCAGTCCATCAAAGCTCGCCTGATTCAAACCGACATGAGGTTCTTGCAGTCTGTCATGCATGACCGCCTGGACTGCCAGTATCTAGTCTCCGTGTTCTCGCTGGCTGTTCCCTCACGACGTACCCGTCACACTGGCATGTTCCATGTGCCGGGCGGGCGAGTGAAATCTGTGCGTAACGGCTTCCTGTCGCGGTTACCGGAAACATGCAACGCACTTTTGAAAAAGCGTCAGGGACTGATTTCTTTTACTCACCATCTTCTTTTAGATCTCAGGTTTTTAACCCGCGCCCCACTGGGGGGGGGGGGGGAGGGGGGGGGGCTATTCATAGCCCCCTCCGTTTTTCTGCAATAACTTCTAAACCGCTTGACATATCGCCGCCAAACTTTCAGTACCTTCGGCTGCATCAATTTGACACCCCTTGTGTCAAAATTTGAATTTCTTATCTATCATAGGTCGGCCGGAAATGACGTCAGAGTGACGTCATGTTCGGCCTATTTCGACGCAAAACATTGAACCACGGGAATCGCTCCCAAGAGCTCAGTTTTTGAGCTAGATCCAATATCTTTGCATGAGAGGACTCAGAATGGACTGCGCTATCAAACTGCAATCTCGGATTTTCAAAATTTTGAAACTTTTGAAAATTGTATATATCAAAATTCAAAATTTGTAGTTTTATCTTTTTTCAAGTTTTTGACTTTTAGAAAAAACCCGGAATATACATGATATAACACATGCCTATGATTTACTTTAGCAAGCCAGATATCTTCAAAAATGGCCAAGTTATACGCATTATAGCGAAAAGTTCACAATTTTAAATTTTTCAAATCAATGTTAAGCACGAATTTGACATCGTACACCAATATAAATAGCACCATCGTGTTCCTGAGCTCAAACTGCATCCGATAGACATGTTTTTTGTTGAAAAATTTCAACTTTAAAATTTGACCTTTTTTACCTGAAAGTGACCTGACCTCAGCTATATTCAGATGAAAATGGCCTCAATTGACACAGGCGACACCGAATTCGAAATCTATGGCCTAAATGGACCATAAATGAACATGTGTCACGTGACCGACTTATGATATAAGATTTCTGTGAACTGTGATGACCTGACCCTGACCTGAAAATCAAAGCAAAAGTTTGGTACCTACCCTCAGGGTATCTAAAGCATCTGTTCACGAGTGTGTAAACCAAAAATGAGCCTGATCTGACTCGTAAGACGGCAGCCAGAGCCCAAAATGTGAACAAGCCAAGCATCGATAATCTTACTTTGACCTGACCTGTGACGTCATCGGTGATCTCGAGGTCGATGAAATTAGGTTTCGCTCGACAGTTTTTCCGGGGCTATCGGATGCCGTTTGAATTTTGACGATCGGCCCAGTAGTTTCTGAGTTAGGAGGGGGCTATCCCCCCAGTAGGGCGTGTTATACACAGACCCCAGTGGGTTGTATGTATATATGTATGTATTGACGATCAAGAGCAATCCACAATCGGCGTGGCGATTACACACACGTGGCGGTTCGCAAACAGTGAGGGCTCCTACTGATGTCCATGGCTGGCGCAGCGGTGCTATCTGCATATTCTTAAACTACGCTGTCTAGTCATTCATCTTTTATGATCGTGCACTTCTTTTATGTGCCCCATGTATGTTATATGACTGTGGCCGTAAGTGGGCCTGGAGCCTGTGGTTGTTTCGTGCGTAATAAATAAACGACATCTCATTTCAGACATTCTGAATAATTATGCGTTATATGAGCCAATAATCGTAATAGTCGGCACATGAATATTGCTAGCATTTCTGTTCATTGATCATTCTACTTGGATGAACACGCTCTGCAGCAATAAGTAGGTATACATTATTGCGTATAGAGACGGTTGAGCTTCCTTGATCTAACCTGTGGGCGATTGTTAGCTGTGCCTCACTAAACGTTTGCGGAGAACTCATTAACAATACGAAAAAACACGCTCGCTGGCGCCGGAGCCGCGCAGCTGTGTGTTTCTTGCCAGCCAGCTTGCTGGAATGGAACCATGCTATATGATGGTTGAATAAGTCAATTAACGAGCTTGTTGTTTCGAGGGCCCACCTGTTGTTGATTCATCGCCTCCGCCTGACTAAAAGATCGATGATATGGCAACTCCTGAATTGAACATTCAACGTGTTACAAAATGTCGATTCATAATTGTAATGATTTCAGGGCGTGCAGGGCTCGTCACTGGCGGATCCAGAAAGGCGGAGTTTGGACACTGCGGAGAGGCACACATCTAAACGATTCTCCTAAAAAAAAAAACTAATCGGATTTCGATTCCTTACGCACTGGTGTGCAGTTTAAAACTATTATTATTATTATACAAAATATAATAATAAAAAAACGCTGGCTGACGCCGGACTCCGGAGCCGCGTAGCTCGTGCGTTTCTTGCCAGGGCTTGATGAATGGTTGAATGGTTAAACTGCCAAATGGTTGAATTAGTCAATTAATGAGCTTGTTGTTCCAAGCCCACCTGTTGTTGATCCATCGCCTGACGAAAAGATCAATAATATGGCAACTCGCGGAATTGAACGTTCAGCCTGTTACACAATGTCGACACCAAAACTAATCGGATTTCGATTCCTTACGCACTGCTGTGCAGTTTAAAACGAACATTCAATTATAAAAGTGGTTAGTTTACGTTCTATCCTCGAAAAACCGCAGTTTTCGTTTTATTCTCGAGAAACCGCACATAACCGCCCCCCCCCCCCCCGGGCTACGAGGTGAGGTGTTCAGGTGACCTTTTCCTATCAAACGCATAGCGTTTGTTTCGACTATGTTATAGGGCCTTGGTCTCGACGGTATCCAATTTGCAGATGGATGTGGATATTTAAATTGGTATGTTAGTGTTGAGAGGCCGATGACCCCAAGTTACGTTTGTGGAAATAAAAGAAACGTTTGAGCAGATTATTGTCAACATATATCACGAGTGGTTTGCATGGCGCACGCGTCGATCACGTGCGGCGGACTTCCGTTTCCAGGCCAAGACGCGTTTCGGGGCCTGGCCCAGGCGTCACAGTTTTAATCGGTTGGAAAGTCTCGATGGGTAATGCCTAAATGCTCCGGTAATGATAGGAAAATACATTTTTTGGGGGGATGGTCGGTTCGTCTAAATAAAAATTCCCAAGTACCTTTCCATATTATCTCTGAGCATAGGCGCGGGAGCCGGGGGGGCAGTGGGGGCAGCTTGCCCCCCCAACTCTGGGGCCGTGGGGGCGGTGCCCCCACAGTTTTGAGACGGAATACCACACTTCTTTTGCAAATGTTTTATTTTTTTGTTGAAAAAGCCGAGGGGTGAAAAATAAGTGGCCTAAAACCGGTGAGAAAACTAGATTTGGGGGTACCCTAGGTTGATCTCTATTATGGTGTGCCCCCCCAGTCGGAAAGTAGTTCCCGCGCCCCTGTCTCTGAGTGGATGTTATAGCTGAAGGTTGAGGTTCTCTTCTTAGGGGATGGGGGGGGGGGGAATAAAGCTTCGCCAAGTGACACGAAGGGAAGGAAAGGTTCATGAGAAAACGCTGTCCTAGCCCATCGCATATCCCTAGAAATCAGCGACACCACTTAGCCCGCGGTCTGCAGCCTCCACTGATCGTGAAGTCGACGGCGCCACCCGCCGCCTCGCCCGGCAGTTCAAGGTCAACATGGCTGCCAACCAACGGCGCCTTCCGGTAGACGAAACAGAGTCCGCGTAGGTCGCGCTGGGATAATTGAACTGATGCTTTCGACCTCTGCTGTATAATGCACAACAAAACGGTTTGGTTGGGTTTATCAAAATGACAAACACAAAAGCTGAAAATATATTTTTTTCTATTTCTACCACAAACATGTGAAACTATAAAACAATGGAACGAAAATCGCAAAAGCAGCTCCAGCAATTAGCCTAAAAGTAACCAGCAATTCCGTTCAGGCACCGCGACAACCAAGTGCCGCAAGCGCCTGACTAAAAGACCCACCCGCGCAAAGCCACGCGGCGTAGAATTTCAGGTGGCGTCAAAATACCAGGCGCGGTGAACCGAGCGGCGGCGCCCGGCGCCGACTGCCTGCCTATGTGCACGAGACTGCTGATAGATGGTGCGCGCGTCGCTGTGGTGTGCTCCTGAGGTTCAAGCTAGGTCGTGCCCTGAGGAGAGTCAAGCGAGGTCATCAAAGGTAAGTTTGGGTAGCGGCGTTTTGTGACGTCACGGGGTTTTTGTCTGCTGTCTTTGCGTTGCTTATGTTGGGAATAATGTGTAATATCGTGTGGATTTCGATGGCCGGCATGATTCTGGCGTGGATGAGTCAGTGAGAGCTGGTAGTCGCTGAGCGCGTTGGTGCGGACTGCGGTATCTCGTATCCGCATGCTATCGAGGCTACCTAGAGGTCATTGGCTTTGCGAGTTGCACGTTTTTACTTTTTGCCGTTCATCGGCGTTTTGATAGTCATCCTTGTGTAGATGACAATTTGATGGGGATGGGGGAGGGGTCAGGGGGTTCTCTACCGGCCTAATTTCTTCCCAAATATGGCGATTAGTTGCGTCAAGATCACGACAAAGGGTGTACATATATCTGGAGGTAGTCGTTGAGTTTACGCATCCCTTTTTTTGCCAATTGTGACGGTAACACCAATGTTGCTGAATTACGGCCATCTTCCGTTACGGGCGAATCCTCAACCACCCGGGACTTTCGGCTCAGGTTTAGCACTCGGCACTCGGCACACCGCCAAAATTGTTCATTCGCCTTCATTTTTCCTGAATTTGTTGCTGGTCGTTGCGACTTGGCGCCTCGCCTAAGGGGGGGGGGGCGTCATGAACCCACTATTACCCCCCCCCCCCTGGCCCTATTGGTCTTGCGAAGAAGGCGAGGATGATCTATGTGACTGCTTTGACCCCAATTGAGCTAGAACTTCGCGGAAAGGTCTTCCATCCTAGCTGTCACGAGGGTCATCGATTGACATTCGGTTTTAAGGTATGGTTAACCGGTGACCTTTGAAAGGTCATACGAGCGGCTCAAAGATTGGGTTGTGGTATTTGGCAAATGGCTTAAGCCTGGAGCCACGATCTTGGTGCCACGGCGCTTGTCCTTTACAAGTGCGTCGAACGATACGATGTACTTTTGTTTGAACACGGTCTTGTTTCCTTGAATGTTGTTCTCGAGTTAAGTTCGGTTGTCGACTGACGTATCGTTCGAAACCAACCTGGCTGAATTGTTTAAGAAAGGACGTATTGTATGTATTTCGACTCAGTTTGCTACTACAGGTCGAGTCGAAATGCACACAATTCTTTTCAATCCGTAACTCGCCTGATGCCATGCAAATAATAGCATGGTATCAGGCGAGTTCCAAGAGTAGACAAAACTTTTTTGCGAGAATAATGTTTCGCCAAAATTTCAAGTGCTAGGATGATATAATTTTAACCGGGATTGGGTCATTTCCAATGAGGTTATCGTTTTTCAGCTCAAATGGGAAGGTCACGTGACCGACCTGACCCCATGTGACCTCAATGAAAGTAAAGGATTCGTAGGCGATAAGAAATCGGTTGCCTACTTTTGCGAGTTACATGCTGATGAAAAAACGTGCAGAGTTTTGTGATGTTGCAACGTTTTCGGAAAGCTTAGAAATTTACGTATGACGTCATAGTTCAATTGACCTGACCCGGAGACGTTCGAAGTAAATTTTTCGCTTATCACCTGTTTTCGTTTTCGGCACAAATTCAGGAAGTGGTAGCATTTTTTCAAATCACTCACACTTCTCTAGGTATTTCAAAGAGATGTTAATCATTGATTAATGGCCTCAGGTGATATTTATTGCTTGATAAGTGCTACCTTACTATTGCCCAAGGGTAGTGCTATTCATCGCATAAAAATTTATGTAAATGACGACGACAAATAAATAAATATGGCGCATGCGTAACGCATTGTTCCTATATCTTTTTACGGTCAAGCGGGTCATGAAAAATAAAGACAGCTGCTCTAAATTCCGAAACAAATCTTTGGATTTCGTTTCCTTATGCATTGTTGCGCAGTTCAAAATGTTTTTTTTTCAACTAAAACTAAATTTTTCATTCGAAAAACGCGAATTTCAGCGATTTTCGGCGCTGCGAGTTTTCCAAGAATGCCTCCCCCTGGACCCTTCAGTGTGCAGAACTTTTTGTCCCGCGTAATATGTCAGTTTCGTTGCGGTGGTCTTGGTGTATCGCAATTTGGAACACACTCTTTGCTCGCGCATGCTGCTATCAGAAATCAAGTTTTCGAAAATCGAGGACTGGAGCTCAATTTCTAGAAAGAAGGGTGTGTTTCATGTATTTTTTATACCCTGCAGTCTGCACTGAGGTTTACAAAAGCTGTTGACGTGCGGTAAAAACAGGTTTTGAAAGCGAATGAGAGCTGTTCGTCGATGGCTTGAGATAGCTGCTCTGCTCGCCAGGGGCTAGCCGGCTGCTAATGCTGAGCCTGAGGAGTCTGATAGGAGTAAATCGACACCGGTTGTTTTGAGGTGGGACCTGGCGTGCGTGCCACTTTCGGGCTTCGGGTGGGGAGGGGTGTAGCATGAGGCGAGGCGTAGCCCTATGAGCCACTGAAGCCGGGGAAAGGAAGGGTTGACATAGGCGGCGGAACGGGGAGGGCACCGGGGCACCCTGCCCCCTTTGATTTTGGCATTTTAACATTAGCCCTATGGGCGTTGCATGGAAAGAATGGGACCAAAAGTCGGCAGTGCCCCCCCCCCCTTAATTGAAGGTGTTCCGCCGCTACTGAGGGTTGAAAGATGGCAAACCGATTCGTCAAAATTGTTAACACGCTTTAGCAGGGTATGAGGTTAATGCTAGGATTACAAGGGTGCAAGGCCCGTGCGGCGTGCCTACCCCCGCCTAGCCGTTGGTGAATGCAAGATTCTTACAGATAGGTGAATGTTTCTTCGGGACGGGGCTCCAACGCAGCATTTTCCCCTGACTTTTAGTCCGAAACTCCGCAGCGCGCGCGGCCATTCGTTTCTCGTTTTTTTTTTTTCCGCCGCAGAAACCGCAGCGCTGCGCAGCGCACATGATGGCGAAATGCCGATCTTTTTCCGGTGCCTCATTGGTTGCGGCCGGTGATTTACGGTTGCCATGGAAACTCGGGCGCCAGCAGCGTCGTTGCGTAACTAGTGGTTCATCGAATGGAACCCAGATGTCGCTGCTGTAGCCCGTCTGGCCCGCCTCCGGATTATCAAGTTGACCTTCAGATAAAGCGGGGAAGGTGACTGCCGACGGACCAATTAGCCTATTTTCCTATTACCGTTTTTTCGTTTTTAAGAGATTGTTACTATGCCAGACGATCCCGCCATTCAAGTGATGATTTTATTTGTCGTTCGTTGCTTCGATGAGTTTATCTTTATTTTTTCCCTCGTTTTGGTTTGATTACTGGTGGTCGTAAAAATCGTAAAAATGGCCAACCGAGCGCATTTTCTTGTATGCACTGAATAAGTATAACTCGTATTTTTTGCGTCATGTCAAAACGTCTTTTGATTGTCGCCCCTCCCATCTTTTTCCTCCCCCTCCCTCCCCTCCCCTCCCTCTTCCCTGTCTATTTTAGCAATCGGTCTGTTGGCAAGTGGCTTGTGATGTAGCTGCGGCACGGATCCTTGCTTCATTGTCTGAATACTCCTTGTGTTAACCGTGTGAACTTTTATTGTCCTCACAAAAGTCAAAGATCTTTTTCATGTCGACTGCGATAATTATTTGTCAGCAGCGCCACCTATATAATTTTGTTTTGGGAATGAATGCAACGCATTTTATCGTTTTCCTCTTCATAACTAGTGTTCAGTTCAGCTGAAGTCAGATAAGAGCAGAAAATGCAAAAAGCTGCTGTAGCATTTAGTGTAGAAACCGGTAGAATCGATACTGCTCGCTCGGTGGACCAGGCGCGGTGAACCGAGCGCCGGCCGTAATCACGTGACTGCGCTCAGCACGGGCGGGGATTGGTCCGTGCGGCCGGCCGCCTTGGCTGCCTGCCAAATTCAATGGTGTGGGCGGAGCCATCATTTCCGTTTGCCCACCGTGCCTAGGCGATATGCGTAGGCATTGGTTAGGCGACGCTAGCTAGGCGTCGGGAAAGTTGGCGCCGGGCCAAGTTCCGCCGGGCCGTCGCCCGCGCGGCGCCGGCTTGCTGGCGGTGGTGAACGGTGCCCGGTTGTTCCAAATGGCGTGTGAAGATACTGGCGCGAGACGCTGGGCTGGCTACTCAGAGTAGACTGTCGCGACTCGTCTGTCAAAAAATAGTTTGCTTTTCATTTTGTAATTAATCTCACTATGTCGACCAACCTAATTTGAATTTTTCCAGGTTTGTTTCGGCGTGCCCATTTTGCCAAGTCCGATTACGCATTATGAAAACACATTTTTCAGTATCTAGTGATTATACCCAATGCCTATTATAAACCAAATTGTAATTTCTGAATTCCCAAGGAGTGCTCAGGATAGCTATGTTGCACGGTAGACCTAAGGTTTGGTCATTGATGTCCTGAGATCGGACGGAAAACTCAGTATTCGCTGCGATGCTTGGTAATGAAAATAGGGGTCGTCGGCGCATTGCGCAACAAGCTCTGCTTAGCGTGGGCTCCGGCTGGGGCGTTCCACGACAAATCGACAAATGAAAAATAAAATTTGCACCCTCATATTTTATTTTTCGTTGAAAACTGGTGTAAGGGGTTGTGATGGGCGGGGAGGCCAGCTGTGGCAAGGATTTTTTTTCTTCTAACAACTGTTTCCGAGATATAGCCTCGGGCAATTCCTGGAGGTCGCGCTGCAGCTCTATGTTTGGCGGCCTATAACTCAGAAACTATTGATTTTCTACGATAAAAACTTTATATGGTTCAACTCACAATCAACCAACAAACATTTTGGCTATCTCGGATTTTCAATTTTTGAAAATTTTGATCACGTGACCTTTTGACCTATTTTTCGAAGAGTGACCTTGATATTTTCCCCACTGAAAGTTGCAATTTTGTCTGATGACGATTAAAGCCTTATCAATTGTCATTCATATGCGAAAATAAAAAAGTGGCTATCGCCCTGCGTTGACCTCAGGTCAGGTCACTTTTATGACCTGTCCATTATTACAGTGGGAGCGACAGCGAGATCTCGAGAATAAAGCAAGATAGCGACAAGCGATAAACGGTGCAGGGTACAAACGGATAAGGTCTATAATTTTTACTGAGGTCATTTTCAGGTCAGGTCAAAGATGACGTAGCAAAAAGGAAGTCAAAATTGCGGCACTACATATATATAAAGTTTTTCTCGAATAACTTTCAAGGTATCCCAGCTAGGAACAAACTAATAGCACCATCGTGATCCTTTCGTCGATCCGCATCGAAACATATGTATGTTGACCTCGAAAGCCGAAAGGTCGAAAGGTCAAAAGTTGACCTTAGGTCACGTGACCTAAGGTCAATTGCTCTGTGGAATTGCTCTGATCGGATTTTTTTTTTTTTTGGTCAGCGAAGCCTGTCGAAATTTTATGTCATCGTCACTTTCCTTTCTAATATGCACCGTAAAAATGGATTAATGGAAAATATGTTATATGAAATCCGGTGTTAAACAAGCATGAAATCACGATGATTTTGCTCGTTGATTTCGAATTTTACTTGTACTGTTATTTTATGTTATTGTTTTTTTAAGGTTTAGGACGTCATGATGCGGCGGCCTTTATTCAAATGTGGATTTTTAATTTTGACTGCGTGGTCTTTCCAAGTACAAGTTTTATACATTGTGACTAGGCCGGGGATACCATATGGAAAGGGCATTTTTAGCTAAGTTTCTAAGACCGAATTGCCCGCCCCCCCCCCCCCCCCAGGTAAAACGACGACGGAGCACCGAGATGCGAAAATGTCGTTTGGTTTCCCGACTCTTTAGTGCTCTGGGTTTCCTCTTCCGCTCATCGACTTTCCCCTCAATGATCTATCATTCCGCTGGTCGCGCACCTTCCCCTTCCCGAAGAAAAAGGCTTGCGGCTGAATCAGTCTGCCTTTGACGCAAACTGGTTATTGATTCACCTTTTTGGGATCGATTCAATCATTGACTCATTTGTTTTATTTTCGATTCAATCACCGTTCGATTCCTAAACAAATGGTAAATCGATTCCTTTCGATTCAGAGAATAAAAAAGGAACGATTCACGTTTTATTCAGGCAAAAAGTCGGTTGCAATTCGATTAAGAAATACGGCAGTAGTGTTAACTTGTGTGTTATCCATGACATATATATAAAACGACAATGTATTCAAATACACAATTAAAAAACAGAGCTTTCGGTAACAAATGACACAGTGATCAAGGTATTTGTTACCGAAAGCTCTGTTTTTTAATTGTGTATTTGAATACATAGTAGTGTTAACATTTGTTGATCATGAATTACCTATGTTCACCTCAATTTTTTACTGTTCATGAATTATTATTTTTTTTTATTCAATCAACCTTGATTCCAAATGCGTTCGATTTTATCATGGCTTGTGAATCGAACGATCTTGATGGTGAATCAAACCTTTTCGATTCAGCAAATTTGCTTTGGATTCAATCCAATCGATTCAATTACGGGTGAATCGAACACCAGTCTGCCTTGACGTCAATTTTTTCTTCCATTGTTGTCCTGCGTGTATTACTGTATTGTTACCGATTTGCGCACCTGGGTAGGTTGCCTTCATTCTTTCCTTCTGGATCCTCCTTTGTTTACAGCCTTGGATCCACTGGAATTCGGACCCGGGGCTCACGCACTGGCCTCGGTCAACGCCCCTTTGTTGTCGTGACGTCACCAAATTGGAATTGTTGGGCGGAGCTTATTTCATTGGCGGCCATAGCGGATGCCAACTCTTGGCGCGATAGCGGCGAGAAACGGCGCACACATTACGCCGATATCTGTTCACCTTTGTAGTTTTGTGGATGCCCACCAGGGGCGAGCGCAGGTTGCCTAGCAACCTGTAACAGCGAGGTGCTTGGCGACTTGCAAATGGCACCTCTTCAGTGATTCGAATTTCTGTTTTTGAACAGGGTTTATGTTTTGTCTGGTGTATTTGTTTATATATAAGGGAAAAGTGTGTTTGAATGTTTTTTTATTGTTTTTATTCTGTTTGATGATAAGTATTCCATCTGGTAAGTTGGTTAGTGGGATTATTTGTTTCATTACTTGCCTTTCAATTAAAGTGAAGCACCTACTTTAATTTGTTTCTTGCCTGTAGAGACAGACTTAAGAAAAACTGTTTTTCTATACTTGAAATGTGATTCAAAATAAATTAAGCTTGATCTCTGTTCTACATTTATCTTTTTTTATTTTGTTGGTGCCTATTTGCTACATGTATGGGCTGGGTATCAACAAGTGAAATTGTGGCATGGTTTATTTTCCCTTGCATTTTCTGCCCATTGTAGGTGATTGTTAAAAATATTTTTATTATTTGAAAAGCTGTTCTCTTTCAGGCATTTATGGGCAACATATTAGTGTTCTCTTAGTTTTGGGTACCTTTCTGATGCATTGAAATTTGAGTTAAATTGCAAAATACATGAAGTGCCGAAGCTAACTGCTTTTCTTGACGTGTTCTCATTTCTCATAGTTTTCTTGAGAGCAGTTATGAAGATTTCTTCGTTGCTGCAAGAAGTTAACAAAAGAAAATACTTGAATGTTTGATTTGATTTCCCTTTCTATTGTAAAGAAAAAATCACAAGAATGGTAAATTTGATTTTCCTTTCGAAAGTGTGGTAAGAATGATTTTCTCAGGCATGTTCTCCAGCTCAGTTGAGTAGGTAAGTATTTACTGTCACATGTATCAACCATAATGCTCTACTCTCTCTCTTTTGCAGTGGCCTGTACAGACTGCGTGGACCAAAGTCACACACCTCCAGCGATGCCGCGCCGCCGCTAGCGCCGCCTGGCGTCGAGTCGCGGAGTCAGCCGAGGGCCGGCGGCGATGCTGAGCATCATGGAGCAGCCCCCGGTCGACCCGCTTCCACGGCCGACTGTAGATGGCGCCAGCGACGCTGTGGACGCCTCCAAAGCCTCCAGTCTGCCCGGCGCCGAGGAGGCGGCTGTGAAAGACGCCAACGGAGCGCAGAATGGCGTCGAATCGATCTCAGGGGATGTGGATTCTACCTCAAAGCCCAGCGCTGCCGCCACCTCGGGTGGCGACGCTGGTAGTGATGTGGCCAGTGGTGATGTGAACTCAGACTCGGGTGTCAAAGAGTCGCTATTGGAACCCGCCGCGAATGGTCTAGACCCAGTGAATAGTGCCGATACAGCAGTGACTCACGACCCGGTGACCAAATCCGAGACTGATGATCAGTCGGACACCGCGACTATCTCGGACACCAAAGTGCCGAGCTCGACCGCCGCGGTGTCTGATTGTGACGCGCCCATTGTGGTGCCCGACTCGGACACTAGTGCTGAGGCGGTGGCCAGCGAGTCGCTCAATGTCTCGCGGAGTGAACTGGACGAGACTCGTGAGGAGCTGGAGCTGCGCCTGTCGGGCTCAGAGGGCTCCGATCCGGCGCCGGAGGACGAGGACCTCCTGCTGAGAGACGGTGAGAGGGAGAGGATTGCGCAGGGAAGTGTTAAACCAATGAGTCCCAGCTTTAGTAATTGCCGCTTCATTTACTTTGTCCATTCAGTTATTCATTTCGTTTACCAAGGAATAGATGCAGTCTGGCATTACAGTTCATATCTATATTACTATTTGAGGATATAGATGCAGAGGAAGGCACGTGCCACGTGCACCCGTGAGGGCACTTTTGTTGAAAAAATGCGGTTTTTGACGGATTTTGGAATTTATTTTATTTTTAGGTGACCGTTAACCAGAGCGAGTTGAAACAACGCCTGTGGGCAAGAGAAATGTACCGCCTCTCATGGGAAAATTGTGAACAGCTAATTGATCGACGCCATGGTGGTACAAATCACGGAAGAAAATGGTGTTTGTCGATGATGTGCCACTTTATTATTCACACGGGTTTTGCTGTATAACCTGATACGTTTGGCAATTGAAAATGGTACCGTTGGAAAGAGCATTCAATTCTGTCCAAGGCTCAATCTTCATTTTTACATTACAAGCAACAGTATTCTTAAAAATGTAAATGTTCCAAACCATTACATTGTCATTTTTAGCGAAATTCATCGATGGCCCTCAAAAGACTTCACGCCAGTTTTCGAATCGTTCTTAAGTAGAACGCATGATAATACGACACGGGCACCTCGATGCGATGTATCTTTTTTGTTTTGGCCGTCAAAAAGCACTCGAACGAAATGGATACCAACCAAATCGACACAGACCAACCCAATACCCACGGGTCACAAATAACCCTTCTTCGCGTTGCGGAGCACGCGGGTAACCCTAGTAGATACTATATGTAGATATCGAATCACTGGTCAATAATTGTAATAAAACGGGGAGGCTTATTTATTCATTTGTGCACTTCTCATTTTTTTTTGGGGGGGGGGGAGGGTCACGGTTGCTTCGTGACGTCACTCGATGACATCAGTGTCATGTATTGACGTCTGTCTTTGCTGGTTTCGGTTTCCATCGTGTGACGCCGTCTCTGTGCCCCCACAGACCCGGAGCTGGTCGGCTCGCCGGCGAAGGAGGGTCCGGTCTGCTCCTCACCCCGTCCGACGGAAGACGGGCCGAAGAACAGCACCCCCACCCCCACCGCCGGTGACGACACCCCTGCCACCGCCGTCGACGACAAGCCTGTCGATAACGACGAACTGGCCGGCACCGACCAACCCTCTGAGCCAGTCAGCGCCTCACCGCAGTCACCCGACCCCTCGACGGCAAACCCTTCAGCTTCATCCTCCCCATCCAAACCGTCATCTCCAGCGAGCGCTTCATCAAAACCTACCTCACCCTCCAAACCCTCTTCGCCTTCACTAGCTGCCGCGGATCCCTCCGCAGAAGCCGGAGCTGATGCTGTCATGGCTGATGCTGGTGAAGTCAAATCCTCCGAAGGTGACGCTTCCCATACTGATGCCGCTGAAGCCGATGCGGGTGACGAAGACGAAGCCCAGTCGTCTGCCGATCCTGTCGACCTACCAGACGACATGTTCGAGAGCGCGGCTGCGCTGAACGCTGCCGAGGAGGAAGAGGAACGCGTCCGTCGCGAGGCGAAACTCCTCGAGAGGCGGCGCACCGCGCTGCTGGCCGCGGATTCCATGGACTCCAACGGAGATTCCATGGACGTGGACGACGCGCTGCCGCCCTCGGACGTCGGCGATGAGACGTCCATGGACGTGCCGGACGGAAATGATGACGTGACGTTAGACGTTCCTGATGAGGTGACCCTGGACGGTCCTGAGGATAGTGTCGACCCGGAGAGCTCCATGCCAAGCAGTGCTGCTGGCGGTGACGACGACGACCCCGACGATCCTGCAGAAGTTGATGACGGTGGCGATGTTGAAGACAACGCCGCAGGATCGGGTGGAGATGTGGACACGCCGGACATACAGCTGGACTCGGAGGACGCCAACGATGCGACCTCCAACGACCACGAGGTCGTGCTGGAGGACGCTGAGGACTCTCCGCGTCCGGAGGACTCCCGTGGAGCCGCCGAGGACTCCCGTGGAGCCGCGGAGGACTCGCGTGACGTCAGTGAGTCGCCGGCGGCCTCCCGCAAGCGGCCGCCGTCTCCGCTGTCCGCCTCGGAGGGCAGTAAAGTGAGACGGCTGGAGACGCCCACCCGGCCGTTCATAGCCGTCAAAAAGGTTCAGCTGAACGAGAGCAACCTGCGTATTCTGCAGGTGGGTAATTATTTCACAACCACTCACTCTAGTCTCCACAATTTGAGTGGATGACGGGATGGAAATATTCACTGGCGGCTGATGAATAGGCTTAATTGGTTCGGCTTCTTTACATATTCATTATTCTTGCTCCCTTTTTATTACCTGTCTGAGGATCCTGCAATGAATAACAGTTGTATGTTGATCACCATTCAACTTTTTCTGATGTTTTCGCATTAACCCGCGCCCTGCTGGGGGGGGGGTGTTTGAACACCCCCCCTTGTGGTTTTTTGCGAATATCTCAAAAATGGCGGCGCGGAGCGCCGCCATTTTTGGTACACCTTATCATACATCAATTCTACACATGTGAAAATTTCAGACCAAGGTCATTCAAGGTCAGGTCACCAGGTCACTTGAAGTGACCTCACCTCATAAAAAGTTTCAATGACTGCCATAGCTACACCGAGTGACCGATCGCTTTGAAACTTTCAGCGACTGATGAGGGTAACAGTATCTATCAAATGTATATCTTGGAATTTTGATATCGGTGACCTAAGGTCAGGTCAATTTTGCGACCTCCCCATTATAAGTCAATGGGAGAAAATTGAAATGCGCCTCTTTTGGACCAAAGACATTATAAACACTCCCAAACACTGAATTACAGGTGGTTTAGACACACTGAACATGAAAATGGTGTCCGTGACCCCTGTTTATGCCCTGAGGTCATCTTAGGTCACGAATGGTATCTAACAGTTTTTCGCAAATAACTTTTGATAGAGGCATGCTAGAGCGATGAAAACGCCTTAGATGTGTTCAGCTCGACGATACGGATCGACTGATATGCAACATGACCCTTTCCGGTCAGGTCATGACCTTGACCTGAGGTCAAATTTTCAAGTTGACCTTTCAAGGTCAAGTCATAGTTCATTCGATGCGTCTTGACGAGAGGAACACGATGCCGGTAAAAGTAAGCTCGTACAAGGCTTGGGTCAAAAGTTATTGCAGAAAAACTGTTTCCGAAAAAATCGGCTATTTTTGCAGTTTTTGCCCCCTGCAGGCAAAACCGTTGACGATAGGTCAAATCTGAGGGAATTACTCAGAAAGGGCGCTAATAGGGCTATCGAATGCGCTTTTCCGCGGCGCTGTAGCTTTATTGGTTCCCGAGTTATGCGTTGGCTTCCTGGAAATTGTCGACATTCGACCTGAAAATCGGCGAAATTTTGCCTTCAATGACCTCTGGTGACCTGACCTTTGACCTGACCAAAAAAGTGACCGAAGTGATTTCGTCATTATTTTTGACGCTCTTTCGAACGCCGCCTTCCGCGTTTCGCTACGTGGCCCAGGAGCCGAGTTAGAAGGGGGGGTGCTCAAACACCCCCCCCCCCCCAGCAGGGCGTGGAAATCCAGGACCCCCAGCCGGGCGCGGGTTAAGGAACTTATGACAACTAACGAGCCGGTGTGCTAGTAGTAGCGATGTGGCGACGGTTAATGACTCAGTTATTTTACTCACATCTTTCCTCAGCTATTTTGCTCACATCTTTTCTTCTACCCTCTCCGCGTTATTTTACTCACATCTTTTCTCAATTATTTTACTCACATCTTTTCTTCTTCCCTCCCCGCCCGTTTCTCTCCTCTAAACTCCCTCCTAACTCCCCTGATACTCCCTCAGGAGTCTCAGGAGCGTGACCGGCTGCGTCTGGAAGAGTCCGCCGCCGCCAGCGCCGCCTCTGTCAGCTCAGCTTCACCACCAGCTACTGCAGCGGCTCCAGCACCAGCACCAGCGGCGGCTGGGGCGACGTCAGGGGCCGCGGTGAATGGCGTCAAGAGCTCCCTCCTGCAGCGCGTCAAACAGCTGACCAGGGAGGACCTGGAGACGTGAGTGGCGAGAGGGATTGGTACAGGGCTTGAGTTGGGTAGAGTGAGACCCTGTTGAGCCAGAGCTGCTGAACTGCTGGGCCCATAGTTAACCGTTAATCTGTAGTGGATTCAAACACGTAAAGCTAGATTATATGCTGACGTATTTGTATGTACCCCATATGACCTCGTGATTCCGTGACCTCGATGCAGTGTGGTTTTGGGTAAGTCAGGTCACTACCATGACCAATCAGGTCATTACCATGACTTGACCTGTTGTGACCTTCTCTGACCCTTTGACCCTGTCTGTCACAGTCTGGTTCTGGAGAAGATGTGTGAGGCCATCGCCAGCCGAAGTGTAATCGGTGACATGAAGAAGTCCGCCGAGAAACACGTGGTCGCCGCCGAGCGGTTCCAGAAGAAAATCACTCATCTACAGAAACAGGTATGTGACAGCGCGGGGTGAAGGGATGGAGGGGATCTTTGGAAACAATAAGAAGAAAAGACATCGTGATTTGACGTCACTTTTTATGATAAACCTAAGCGGCCAAACGAGAGCTTCATTGTGTTGAATTTTCAGCTCTCATTTCGACTTAAATGCCGCGACTTGAATGTCATTCATTCCAGCTATCCAATCTTGGTGTAGTTGTAAATGGTGTTGTTCTTCCGAAAGCTTCCGTTAGAATAATAAAGCTGGTGTCAAAACAACGTTTTATACATATCCAATCTTTGCTTTGACTTTTCATTTTTTTCTCTCAACAAACTTACTGTTACGCCCATCAACTTCAGTAGATCGTATAAATCAGTGGCGGTCAGCAGCAGCGTGGCACGGGACTCGCATGTCTTTCATTGTGCGGCGTTTTCTCTAATTCTCCCTCTGATACGCTCGCGCGCTGTGTCAGGTGGGCGACCTTCATCTGGTGGTCCGGAAGCTCTCTGCCGAACTCAAGTCGCGGAAGGCGCCCAGCTATCCGGTGAAGATAACGCGCACAGTGGGACTGCAGGTCACTCTGGCGGTGAGTGTGGCTGTGAAAAAACAGACGCCCCTGGCTAATAAAAAACAGCGCAAAACAATGTTTTGCGCTGTCTAAATGTGTCTAAATGCCTTCAATCTCGTTATCATATCTCCTGTGTAATATGATTGAGGCTGTGCTAAACTTCGATAGATATGCGAACTTGGAATGCATTTTTGGGGATTGGTGAATGTAATTAATGTTCCATGTTCAATGTGCATTGTTGAGAAAGGTGATCAATTTGGCTATATGCCTGAGCTTAAAGGGACCCTCCCACCTTAACATTAGATTTGAGTTGAGATAGCCAAAATGGGGTCCCTGGCTCACAATTACCGGTTTCGGCACTCACAACATCGAGAAATGCCTTAAATCGGAAATATTGAATTTCAAAATTGCAGCATTTTGATTCAGAGGGGCTAATGCTTAGGAATACCCCTCTGAATGTGTGACGTCATCGCAGATATCTAACGATTTTTAAATGTTTGACTAAAACGTTTTGTAGCACGCGGTGGTATATGCTGCTTTGCGCGCAACAAATGCCGCACTTTCAAATAAAGTCGCTAGGAACAGCGGAGATCCCAAAAAGTAAACAAAAGTAAAAGTCTAATATCTTGAAAACCGGTGAATATTTTTCGATGAAGTTTGGTAGATATTCGTTTTTGCTCTTTCTGAACCGAGCGACATCACTTTCATGCCAATTCATTAACTTTTTTGAAGGTGGAAGGGTCCCTTTAAACATTTTAGAATTGCGCCGTGTGTCTTTTTAATGACTGGCAACACCTTTGGCCTTTTGTTCAACATGAATTCACAAAATGTTATCTCATCCACCCCCATCACTCTCTTTACATTGTCTGCTACAAATCTTACGTAGTGTTCATGTTTTCCATGGTAGCTTACTCTCATGTCATGTCTTCTCTGTGCCGCAGAAGAGCGTGCCACCTCTGACGAGCCGGCCGCGACCGCCGCCCTCGTCGCCCGGCGCCCCCACCAGCGGCACAGCTGACACCCCTATCAGCGCCCCTGTATCTGGCGCCCCTGCGGGCGTCCCGGTCACAAACGGGGTGCTCAGGGCGCACCTGACCTCCACCTCTCCGATACGGGCGCGCCAGGTCTACTCCCGGGTAGGTAGTGTTGGAGCGCAGGACGGGAGGGGCCGGGACTAGAGCCTCAACTAGACCGACCTAGGCCGGGAGCTCACTGGAAGGGAATCAGGGTAACTTTGTAGGCTGGATGGCTGATGTTGATATTGATATTATCCGTTCTAAAGCTCGATCACAATTCTGTGGTGTATTTTGTGCACTATTTAATGGCCCGATAATTTGATATTGCTACACATACCATGAACTACCACCTTCCTGTAAAGTTATCAAACTAACCGTGTTATATAGAAGCTGTAAAACAGATTGTCTATGATGACTCGGGTGTGGCATTGTCTCTAACCAGTATGCGCCGTGTACTCGTGTGCTAAAGCTCACCTCTGTTCTCTCTCTCGCCCTATCTGTAGTCGCCGGTGCCCCAGGGCCAGGTGCAGTTCCGGACCGCGCAGCCTCAGTCGCCCTCCCACAGCTACCGGGGAGCCCGGAGGGGCCGGCCGCCCGGCGTCACGGTACGTTATTAGGGGGGTTATAGGGGAGTCAGAAGAGGCCGACCGCCCGGCGTCACGGTGCGTAATGGAAGGGGTATAGAGGAACAGGAAACGAAAGAGGAGGGAGGACGTGGGTGAAATGGGTCTGTTAGACTGATAAGTGCAGCTGAAGGTATATGTCGTAGTTGAACATTAGGGAAAAGGGCTGTGAAGATTGTATTTTGTGGGAAGATTGAGGTAGGGGCATGCAAGTGATGTGTTTTGGACTATCTCCCAATATAAGTACGATGCCTTGATATGCATCCGTACTTAGCGGATGGTTTTTTAAGTGTTATTGCCGTGGTGTAATCATCTGTTCCTCACCCTTTCATGCCTTACCGATGTGCAGAGAATGCGGCAGCCTCACGTCGTAAGTCACTAATTGTATGAGTCTGCTCTCGAATAATCGAACATCATTCAAATTTTAGCTGCGTTTTTAGTAAACTGTTGCTGCATGGTTACGTCGCCCTTTTGTTATTTATTTTTTGTCTGGTTCGTGGGCTGCTATTCTGCTACGTTTCCCAACCCTTCTATGCAGATATCATCAGCAATTCTTATGTTGCTCTCTTGGTGTTTATACTGGCCTACGTTTTTTTTTTCTATTTACTCTTCTTATATAACATGTTACTTTCCCAATGACCGTGAGCAATGACTTATCGTAGACATATGGTCACATCTCCGGATATAATCGAACTTTCACTTGATTAGTTCAATTTTTAAGTGACTTGCGGGTTGGAAAACGATGGGTATGCTGGCACGATTTTCTTTCTCTAGGGCAAGCTCATGCTCGATTAGATTCTAGTTCACCTTAGCATTTACCAGAAAGGGCTGTCATTATTTATAATTACCGTGGTTGTATGCATTCATATAGAACACAAGTTCTATGATTACATACCTTTCCCTATCTGGACAGCCTCCATGAGTGGACCGCTCCTCTGTCTCGCTTGCTGTTGGGGCGCTGGCCCTCTTTTGTACCCCGTATCTGATATGTCCCTTCCTCCGTCACAAACGCCTCCCATCCGCCCTCCCCTAATGCTCCGTTTCCTCACGCCCATGTCTAACCCCGCGTTCGGTGTCTCTCGGATGTCGAAGACTACGCCGTCCGGCCAATCGCTTTCCATAACCGCAGCCGAGCCCCCGCTGACCTTGAGCGGGATTGGCCGGACGACGTAGAATCTTCGTCGTCCGAGAGACATCGAACCCGGGGTAAAGGCTGAAACAGACTCTTTCCGCGTTCAGGAAATCGCATGCGAGAGCCTATTCAAATACATTATAATTCTTCCCGCATGAATCGCATCCGGGAGGTGTGTGCGATTGATGCGAGCGTGCTTCCATGTATTTGAATAGGCTCTCGCATGCGATTTCCTGACTGCGGAAAGAGTCTGTTTCAGGCATAAGTCCTCCCTGGCAAGTCTCTCTGTCTAAGCCTTCTACTTACCCCCCCCCCCCCCCTAGTGTTCCATTTTTCAGACTTTTGGTGGCAAATCACACCTAATGGGGAAAAAATTTTCATCCCAAAAATACGAATGACTGACTTTACTTCATCTCTGAAAAGAGTTTCATGTATTCCCAACAGCCAGTTCACATGTCACTAGACAGTTGATGCACCCACATCCTTTGTTCCACACCCAGTCAAGATCCTGACATGAAATCCTGGTTTATCAGTTGACATAAAAATTGGCATTACACCATTTTGTAAAAACACCTGTTATTTACTTTCTTTGTTCTCATCCTAGGATTTTTTCTTCTTCAACGGCACACCCAACCAATATCCAATTTTAGAACACTGTACCCCCCCCCCCTCCTCCAGCCATCCCCGGTGTCGGGTACCACGGTGGCGCTGGTACCGGTGGTACGCACCATGGTACCGATCGGCTCCGTATCGCTGCCGGGGATATCCTCCTCGCCGCAGCGGACCGTTGGAGTCGCGCCCGCCGCCGCTGCGGCTGCAGTACCCGTGAGTGGGGCGGGTGGAGAGATTTGGATATGAAACGTGTGAATGTGCCTGTGCATGTGATAAGATTTTGTTTTGCAATGACGTACTAGCTGATATGAAGATATTATCGTAAGTCTTCACGACAATCGCACTTTTCACTAGAATTTAGCCTTATTCTTACGAACATCGGCATTGTAAGTTCTATTGATATTGCATAATGAGAGCCGTAGGATCGTTTCATATTTGATTTCGGTACTGTTACCTAATTTTTATCGCTTCTGCTGTTATCTTTGGAAACTGCTTAGTACTTCCCTTGTTTTTTTTTCTGCTCGAGGACGACCTACTGGCAGGCGTCCCTGTTTTTATTTTACCAGCACTGATACACAGGTTGCACTGTTGTAAAAACCAAATTAATTTATCGCTACCGATCACTGGCTCATCCCTGACTCCTGACTCCTGACTGTCTCGTTTTCGTCCCCAGAAGTCCCCGCCGGTGTACGCCAACGCGCGCGGCCGGCCGGCCGGCGGCCACCCGCCCCGGCCCGGCGCGTCGCTCGCCGGAGGAGGAGGAGGGGCGGCCGATGTGGTGGACCTCACCGACGACGACGACCCCAAGCGGCCGACGGCGGCGACGGGCCGCGGCACGCCGGTGACGTCGCCGCGCAGAGGAGGGATCACCTCGGTCACGGTGAGATAATACGGAGGGGGGAGAGGAGGGGAGAAGAGAAGGAGGGATTAGAGAAAATGGGTGTGAAAGAGAACGGGAAGGAGATGTTAAAGGGGTTTGGATGAAATGAAGCGATGTTTCTTTGCGGTACGATCTGATCTGGTCATTAACAAGCTCTTTGCTCGTATCTGTCGACGTGTATTTGTGTAAGCGTCTAGTTTGTCATTGAGTTTAAAACTTTTGCATGTCAAGCGGGCCTTGATGTCCGCTAAATATATTGCAGCAGTTCAGTTTCATGCAGACTAAGTCCCTACCGTCTTTTGATGATCAGATCGACCCTTGTCCCACCCACCCCCACTGACCCTCCCCCCCCCTCCCCGTCCACAGCCGGTGACCCGCGTCGGTGCCGGTATGACGCCGATCCGGCTCAAACATCCGGCACCGTTCCCAGTCACGCCGCCGAACCCGGCCGTACACACGGGCCAGCTGCTGCCACCGCCGCCCCTGCTCAAAGTCACCCGACGAGCCAACGGTGAGAGATGGGAGGGAGGGAGAGAGAGGGAGAGAGAGGGAGAGAGAGGGAGAGAGAGGGAGAGAGGAGAGAGAGGAGAGAGAGAGAGAGAGAGAGAGAGAGAGAGAGAGAGAGAGAGAGGGAAGGAGGGAGAGAGAGAGAGAGGGAGAGAGAGAGAGGGAGAGGGAGAGAGGGAGGGATGAGCTGGTAAAGAGAGCTGAAGTTTGGCAGATCTCATGTTGGTTGTGATCGGCATGATTGTGTGACGCCGGGATAGAATGTCTTTAATTTGCGTTTTATCTCAGTCTTCCAAATCGGCTGGGATTGAAGGAAAAGGGAAAGCGATCCTTCCGTTCATTTTCCTCGCCAGTAGGTGCTCCGTCGACCTGTCTTCAGTAACAGTGCACACTAGTCTCTGAATTCTCTGGCAGAGTTATGTTATATGTTGTATTCCGGTATTTTCTTTTTCCATCTGAGTTGTAATTACTCGAAGAGACGGTGTTTATAACACACATTTCATCCGAGCTCATATCACGCCTTACGCAATTTGGAAGTACAATCTATCATTGTCCTCACAATGCAATATTCCTAGGCAGAAACGGGAGTCTTTTCCTTTTCCTTGGGGAGACTTTTCCTCTCTTGTTTGACCTGACCCGGCGCGACCTAACCTGGCTTGACCTCACCTGACCTGATCTGAGCTGACCTAACCTCAGCCATCCGCTGGCTCAGAACAATCGCTTTGCTCTGAATATGAATCTTTTTGAGCTCGGAACAGTCGAAGTACGGAATGCGAACATTGTGAGGCCCAAGAGCAGCCATTTGGCATTGAGTACGGACATTGTTTGGCGCAGAAGGGTCGTTGGTTTGTCTGAACTGTGGAGATTGTTTGGTGAGGCGGCCTCAAGAGCCGGGACCGGCTCTTTGGCAGGTGCCGGCAAGACGGACGCGAGCGGCACGGAGACACCAGAGTGGGCGAGCGAGACCGTCCCGAGCGACCCGGGCACGTCAGAGCGGGCGGACGAAGCTGACGCGAGCGACCAGAGCACCGCACAACCGACAGTGAAGATCGAGCCGAGCGACCCAGGCACAGGCGAGGCCGGCTCCAGCGACGCGAGTACCCCACAACCGACAGTGAAGATCGAGCCGAGCGACCCGGGTTCATTACAGGGGACAAGCGAGATCAGCTCGAAGAACACGGACAGATCAGCTCAACAGGCTAGCCAAGACGATCAAAGGGACCGGAGTACATCAGGCAAGACGAGTACAGCAGAGCAGCAGACGAGTAAGACCGGCCCGAGGAACCAGGGCGCGTCTTTACAACCGATTGTTAGACTCTCTCGGATCGACCTTGATGCGTACTCACAGCAGACCAGCGGGGCAAACAGGAAGAACCAGGGCTCATCTCAACAGACAAGCTCGAAGAATCATTGTGTATCACATCAACAGAAAAGCCAAGACGGTTTGAACAATCCGAGTGTTTCTCGGGAGACAAGTGGGCCCGGCTCAAGCAACCAGAACGCGTCAGTTCAACAGAAATTAAGTGAACCAGCTGGCTCGAACGACCAGAGTACACCTCAGCCGACAAGCCAAGACAGCTCATGCGCTCCTAGCACCTCGGTATGGACGGTGAAGAACCGCTATTATATCCTGGGGGCAGTGAATAGCGGCATATCCACCCCCATTACGGCAAACCGGATCAGTCCGGTCAAGAACAGGCTGTACTCCCCGGTCACACCACGACAGGGCCCCGTCAAGATCGCGCCAAAGGGTCTGATTATATCACCGACCAATAGTCTACCCCTGAATAACCCCGGCGCAGCGCAGCAAAGGAGCGAGCCCAGCACGAGCAACCCCGGCGCAGCGCAGCAGGGGAGCAAGCCCAGCACGAGCAGTGCGGGGGCGGCAGCTCAACCGGTAGCTTCTACCAACCCGAGCGAGCCTGGCACATCCCAGCGCAGGGGCGGCGCCAGTTCAGACCACGGCAGCGCTCCGTACAAGTGTGACGAGTGTCCCGCCAGCTACGCCAGTCTCGGCAGTCTTACCGCCCACTCGGTGAAACACTCGGGGAGGACGCGATGTCCGCTGTGTCAGAACGTTTACTCCACGGCCTATCATCTGCGGCGCCATATGATCAATATACACCGCATCAACAAACAGGATGCAGACAAGTATACAAATAATCAGCGGTATAATATTTTGTATGGTCTTAAACAAAGACAGCCGGTGAAGAAGAAAGCCGTGAAAAAGACGTGATGAAGCCTTGTACTCTTCCGTGCTCTTCAGCTAGCCTTTGGATGAGGCGCTGAATTGCGAAATCGGTCACCTGGTGCCAACTGCTCGTGTGCGCCATGGTATTTATTGTGGATTTCACGGCGTGCTTTTGTAATGCATTGTATTTGTGTCGCCTGCCTTAGATCACTGTCGTGAAACTGATTTGATTCTTGTAAACCGTCTCGTGCGTCTTTTATGGTTCTTTATAGTTCCACGATCCGAATTATTTAGATTCCGGCAAATCATCAGATGTCATGATCTGTGTGTTCTGCGCTTTCTTCGCCGGAGATGATGAAATACTTCTTCACTGTGATGCATTTTTTTTTTTTTTTGCCAGCGTTAGTTGAGGGTCCTCCTCGACATCTTCTGTCTACCTTGCCCTTCTGTCTATATTTTTTTTTTGGTGTACCTGCGATTCTTTCTGAACTTGCATGGTTTGTCTTCTGTATATTCTATTCTCTTTTCATTATTTACTCCCGTGATAGCTTGTAGAAATGACCCCGTACTCGACTCGTCATTGGTGTCAAATCATCGGGTTTGCTATGTGGCTCGTTTTAGCGATGTTCATTTTCTGAATAGAGAACGGCGTGTGTGTATTTTTAGTATGTCTAATGCGCTGTGAATTTCGGTTTTGAGAACCAAATGTAAGTTGCGTAATGTGTTGTAAACTAGTGAACATATGCAGTACCTATGTTATATGAAATACATGAATTGTCAGCTTTTTTAGTTGATCTAAGTCAATATTGAGTCATGGTTAGAGAAACAGAACTTGACAGCACTGCCCATCACACATTTACCCTACATAATATCGCCATGACGTTGTTAATCCTTGCACGCACTCGGCAAATCGGGAACCAGGGGAAGGTGAAGGAGGGCGTTCACTAACAATGCCAGTAAATGTTATAAACGGATCAATCTGGCGATGAGGAGACAACAAAAATCAGGGAGGGGTCAGGGAGTATTGTGTGTTATGACTTATGGCAGAAGTGCTATTATAGATTTTAGCCGTCTCATTGCTTGTGCAAAGGCCAGTTTTACCAACAGAAAAATAGCCGCCTGCCGGAATTTTTTGCCTAAAGACCGCTTCACGTACAGTAGGTCTACTAAAAAAGTCCCCCGCTCCAGAGGCGGCCGGCCGGCCGAACCCCCGGATTCCAGCCCCGACTCTATTGCGCAGGCCGCGGCAGCGACACGGGTCAGGTCGCGGCGCCCGGCGAGTGGGTCAGTTGGCGGCGGCCGGCCGTGGAGTGAGGACGCAGTGTGTGGGGCGCAGAGATGCCGCTGTGCAGAGGAGGGGAAGATAATGACTCTGCACGATGCCTGAAATGATGCCTTTGTGATCTAAATCAAACACCTGCAGTGCATATCCTCCCTTGCCTCATTCCTATTTTATCATAATCCTTCAATAATCTGTAATGGCCATTCAGCGCAAGCAAGCAAACAAAACAACCCGTTTAGCGGCGACAGCATCTCGGATAAAAAAGCGGCAGTGATGATTAGAATAGACTTAGCGCGAGGGCAAATCGAGGGGTATAACTATATGTATCACATACCGAGTATTTTATTCCTATCTAGCGAATTAAGATTGGAGATCTTGTCCAACAAGTCAGCGGCCGTTCTAGACACAGAATAATGCTTTGTTTTCGGTCACATCATTATCTGCAATAATTCGAAGCGAGGTTTACCCTCGCCGGCCGAGAAGAAGGGGTGGATGCCTCCACCATGCATTTTTTTTGCGGTAGCTCAAAGCACACTGATGATAGAAGGCTGACATTTCACATGCCTTACATTTCAATCAAGCCGGATCACTTGACATCAACCACGTTTTCAGGTCAGATCACTCCTAACTATATCTTAGGTAAACCTCTGAACGGTTGTCGGTTATAAAATGATGCAATCCGCAATGCACTTAGTGTCGTATAAGCATAATGGGGAATTATGGAAGCTGTTAATGTGGCTTCGGAAATAATCTGAAACTATACCTCAAGCACATGAAATCGTGACTTCATACATTCTTGGCAAGGTCTAATGCTTCACTTTTGCATTGTTCACCTTGCGTGACGTCATTTATGACGTCACTTGTGTCATAGGAGTGTTTCGTCAATAACTCCCGATCAAAATGAGCTAGCCAGTCTGGACGGTCTGGACAGCCATCAATGGACTTTGCAAGACTTGTCGAATCAAATGTTATGCAACATGTCCTCCTTTCAACAGCTTCGTGACCTGCGCTGTCCTAACATGACAGTGACCTGAGGTAAACAAAACATCCTAACTTGCTTCACGTAAAAAAAAAAATCGACGCATCTGAGAATAGAAAACACGATTGTATTGAAATGACGATAATGCGTTTAGTTATTTACCAAGAACCTAGCAAATGCCTTGGGGCCCTTGACCTGCCCTAAGAGGTCACTGATATTTTAAAATGGGGTGCCAGTCGCTACGTCACGTAACAACGGAAGCGCTCGTTTTTTCCGCGAGGTTCTAGCAGCTAGCTCAATTATAGGAGCTAAACATGGGGTCGGGGAATCGCTCCCTTCTCACTCACTATTTGGCCGGGATAGTGTTTGCAATTATTGTTAAAATCTAGCATTTTGATATTTCAAATGACCCATTTTTTCCCGCCCAAGTCTTTCAATTCAAGGTCATAACATCAGGTTACGTCAAGTGACCTTACCTCAAGGAAAGTTCCTGTGCTCATCATATCTACCAATATATATCTCATGATATCTACCAATACGACTATAACCAATATTAGTCGGTAAATACACCGACTAACCGATCGCTTCAGAACTTTCAGCGATTTTAATGGGCAACAGTATATGTATTTGAAACGTTTATTTTGCAAGTTTGACATTGTTGACAGAAAGGCCGGGTCAACTCAAGTCAATGGGAGAAAATTGAACTGCGCTTTTTTGGACGGAACTATACTCTGAAAACATGTGGTGCTTGATGAGATACAATACTGAATGAGAAAATTGTTTGTTTTGTTGGGGGCCATCTTTTTTGGTCTGAAAAGGCCCTTGCAGAGCTATGACATAACTATGCTGTGGTGTAGTAATTGGGTTGTGCGAGCCAGCGACGGTGATCTGCGAAAGCGAGACTGTTCCCCGTGGGACGATTGCCCTGTCGGGACGGTCCAGCCGTCTCCCAAACGGTCACCCGAAGAGGATTATGTGTCCTGGAATGGATCCGACATCAACTACAGGTTGGCTGGTGGGGTGACCTCCAGTCCAGAGAGGGAAGCATGAAGTCTATGTAGGGGCGATGCAGATTGGTTTTTCCTGAGGATAGCGATGACGGAAGGAATCTAGCACCCTTGAACCTTCCTTATGCTGAATGTATCTCAGGCTGCGTTCCTAAAAATCTCCTAAGCGTTTTTTTTTTTCTCGACATCGTGAAGGTGTCATTAACAAAAATATGAAATTCGGGAGGCTAAATTAAATATAGAAAATGTGGCCAACAGAACATTATCAGTTGCGTTCAACATAACCGCAAGCATGTTCACACACCCAGCTTACATATGAGCCATGTAATAATTATTTTTGATAGACATGCTTAGTTATGAAATCATCTGAAGTGTTTGTAAAGTTCCACGATACGGATCTAATATCCTGCTATGCTATGACCATTTCTGGTCAGGTCATGTCTTTTAACATAGGCCAAATTTTTCAAATGACCTTTAAAGATAAACTTGCGATTCATTCGAAGCGTTTTGATAAGAGGAACGAAGAGGCTGGTAAAATTAATTTCATGCAAGTTTTAAGCTAAAAACTTTAAAGTGTTTGTGGAAAAGCAATTGGTTTTCTCATAATCTTCATAATCTTCACCTGGCCGTAGCCAGGTGAAGTCTGGGAGGGGACCGGCCGTGCGCGGCTTTGTGCGCACGTTAAACTTTGGACTCTAAATTCTGCCATAGCACCGGAATTGCGTGATCGGAGGGTAGAGGGCAGGGTCATCGCAACAAGCTTTGCTTAGCGGTGGCTCTGTCCTTGTGAATCCTTCCCATCAAAAGGTTCGGACTAAATTTATTTAAAAAAATAATAATACCGATGGTGGCAGTTGTTGTTATTTACATGCTAAGCCGTTGACCCTAATTCAATCTGACAATATTATTCAGATTTCAGACATAGCGGTAAACGAGCTGATTGTTGTGTTAGGTTAAGCTCTTCGGTCGATTTCAGAGTGGGAAGGATGATAGGAATTAGGAGGAGACAGGGGGCCTGGGCGGGAGTCCTGGACCTCATGCTCCGCTGGGGCCGAGCCCATCACGTGGGTTGGATTGCCCTGACACATGGGTAGCCCTGGGCGGTGTTTCACGGCCCCGCGCTGCAGCACGCTGCGCTGCGCTGCTGCATTGTTGCGGCGGTTGATATGAATTGGGCTCCACGCTAGCGTTGCGAGCCGTAGGTGCGGGAGCCGGGGGGGGGGGGGGGGGGGCAGTGGGTGCAGCTTGCCCCCCCCCCCCCAACTCTGGGGCCGTGGGGGCGGTGCCCCCACAGCTTTGAGACGGAATACCACATTGTTTTGCAAATGTTTTCTTTTTTGTTGAAAAAGCCGAGAGATGAAAAATAAGTGGCCTAAAACCGGTGAGAAAACTAGATTTGGGGGGACCCTAGGTTGATCTCTATTATGGTGTGCCCCCAGTCGGAAAGTAGTTCCCGCGCCCCTGTTGCGAGCTTCCGAGTCTGTTGATGTTTCCATGGAAATTGGAAACCCAATGCACCGGTGCGCACAACGCACCCTGTCTAAGCAAAATTTTACCATCGATGACCTCTAGTGACATGACCTCTGGCTATGACCGGATCCAAAATTAGCTGAAGCATTTTTTTCTTCTTTTTGCTACTTTTGACGCTACTTCGAATACCACTTAAATGCCCAAAGCTGAGTTATAAGAATGATCCTCAATCCCCATTTCCCCTCCAACAGGGCGTGAGAGTCTAGGCATTCATGTGGGGCACGGGCTAACAATGACTATCTCATCGGCCATGAACATCTACTGCCATTCTTTAACACCGGTTTCGCTGCGCTGAGCGGTGGCCGTCCCGTTTGTCGGATTCTACAGCTGGCTGGTGGAAAGCGTTACCGGCCGCCCGTCCACCGCCCGCGGGCCGGACCGAGCGTCCCGCTGACCCTTCCTGACCTGATACCGGCGCGATATGGGACAGGCAGACGGGGGTTCGGCTCAGCGAAGGCAGCGCCCACTGGTGCCGGGGACTTTTTTAATAGACCTACTGTACGGAGCGTAAACGGTAAAGCCCTATCCGCTCACGTGCCCGTCGCGTTTACGCTCCGTATGTGAAGCGGTCTTTAGGCAAATAATTCCGGCAGGGGCTATTTTTTCCGTTGGTAAAACTGGCCTCAGTACTGATTTTTACCTGTTTCATTATTTACACTAGAGCTCGCAGACTCGGATTGTATTGGTACCTTACTACGACACAGAAACTGCCACATAAAAAACACCAGCCATTTTGACCCCACTCTAGATCAATCTTTGTAGTGTTGTAAAAAATTGACTCTGCCCCGGCATCCTCTCATGGTGCATTATCTGGATAAAGTTAACCTGGTATGATCTGGTTTGACCTGACCCTTTTCCAGGCATGCTCTTGAGCTTAGGACTGACCTGGCCTGACCTGACGCTCCCCTCAGGTCTTGATGTCTTCCCGTGGATATAAAGAGAGCTGACCTGACCTGACCAGACCCCCTCACCTAGATGTCGTTCTCTCGTGGAACATAAGACTGACCTGACCTCACGCCTCTGCCAGCTTTCATTTTCTCATGGCTCGCTGACCGGTCCTGACCTGACCTGACCTGACCTGACCTTACCCTCCCCTTCTCGCAGGTATCGTGCTTTCGTGGAACATGGAGCTGACCTCTCGCCACGCCACTGTGGTCAGCTACCACCTGTTCGCTTACCAGGAGGCCGGACCGGTCAACCTGCGCGCCAACCCGTGGAAAAAAGTGGGCGACGTGCGCGCCCTGCCGCTGCCCATGGCCTGCACACTGACACAGGTATGTGCGCGCGCGGGAAGGGAGGGAGGGGGATATGAGGGGAGTATCGTGTGGTGGGAGGGTTATGATATAATGAGTTACCAGTCTTGATGCTTTTAAGATATTTTCAACAGTTGGATGAAAACGCACCAAAGGTGTTTGCTCTTTATGTTATTTTAAAATTAGTGAACTGTATTTTAATGGCTTTATGTATGAAATGAGCAGCCTGATGGCAACTTTGAGTCAATTGCCCGGTTCAAATTATGATTAATGTTTAACTGGGTTCAATGAGGGAATAATTTGTGATTTTCATTTCACGGTCTCATTCTGCGTTGTACCTACATTAGGCGTTTATCTGACTACGCTCGTCTCTGTGCGTTTCAGTTCCAGGAGGGCCACAAGTACCACTTTGCCGTGCGCGCCGAGGATAGCTTCCGCCGGAGAGGGCCCTTCTCCAACCCCAGCTCGATCGCCCTGATCGGATCCTAGCCGCTGAGATCGCCGCCGCCGCCGCCGCCGCCGCCAGGCTTGTCACTGCCCGTCAACTGATTCGGCGTCTGCTACTAAATCTGGACGTCGGGTGTCACCTATGGCGTTGTCCAAATACCTTGGCTCTAGCTGATTTTTCTTCCTGTGTGCTGCTCTAAATGGTTCTTCCTCTGATGTTTCCCTTCATGATTTCCCCTCCTTCCTTCTACGTTTGTTCGTCGATGTACTTTCATCCATAATTTTCTTAATCGTCCTATCACCAGAGCTCAGTCTGGTTTCATTCCGCCCGACTCCTATGCAGGGTAAAGCTCGCCTGACTATATTTTCCTGAGAACATGCTAGGTGGTGCAGATGATATCCAAAATCCAAATGCTTTCTTGTTCACCCCCTGTGAATTTCGCGCCGGTTTTGAAAATTGGCTTTGTCACCTCGGATGCTTGTCAAAACTGGAGTATCTGTGGCCAGTGCGGCACGTGTGGTGTATGCGGCGCTACAAATTACGCGGTGCGGTGGGACGAATGTGGCGCGGTGTCGGTTCTTTTCTTGCCTCGGTTTCGACGTAGGATCGGTGTGCGTTCCAGGCGGATGGGGCGCCGGCAAGGGCGATCGCAGCGCCATCTGTAAGATGTCAGTGCGACCACAGCGCCACCTGTACTAGTTTAGTGCGACTACAGCGCCATCTAAAGCAGTTCAGTGCGGTGCCGTATTTCGTATGTTATTAGCAAATGCGTTTCGTTGTGTATGGGTGGTCGGGCCGAGGGCGAGAGTGAATTGGTTTGCACTTGAGGCCTGTGTTTTATTGGTCGTGTCAGCGCACCAACGCATTAGCGATGTGAGAATGACTGGCGAACGAGCACCTCCTCCTGATGCAAGAAATTCTCTGTGAGGATTTGCATGACGTCAGACCTAGAGTCAAAATGACGTGACAGCAAGCCGTATCGTTATGTTCTCGTTCTGACGGTGTGCCGTTGTGGGGCGGTGTGCTGCTGACCGCAGGCCATCTACTGTAATTGAGCAGCAGCGCGCCCTGTCTTGGAACTGCAAAGGGAAGGCAGAGATGGGAGCTGTAGGGGAAGGGGGTGGTCGGGCAGGGGTAATGAATAAACTTGACCTCCGCGCGCGACTGTGAAGATCCTCTGTGGTTTGTTCTCGTGACACAATACATCAATAAACAGTGCGATTTATTTATAGGCCGCTGGATTGTTGGGTTTACGTTGTCGACGCATATTCTTCATGCCGGGAGCATAAGCCTCGGAAAAATAAAACCTTAGATGATCCAACCAAATTTTACGGAGCTATTTCGAGGCCCTTTTTTAGCATTTTACAACAGACCGTGGCGGGCGTGTTCCTTTCATAGTGGATGTCGGTAGGCAGACAACTGAACCAGTGACAACTGAACCAGGGACAACTGAACCAGTAAAACTGAACCAGGGACAACTGAACCAGTGACAACTGAGCCAGTGACAACTGAACCAGCGACAACTGAACCAGTGACAACTGAACCAGCGACAACTGAACCAGTGACAACTGAACCAGTGACAACTGAACCAGGGACAACTGAACCAGTGACAACCGAACCAGTGGACAACTGAACCAGTGGACAACTGAACCAGTAGACAACTGAACCAGTGACAACTGAACCAGTGACAACTGAACCAGCGACAACTGAACCAGTGACAACTGAACCAGTGACAACTGAACCAGTGACAACTGAACCAGTATGACAACTGAACCAGTATGACAACTGAACCAGTGACAACTGAACCAGTGACAACTGAACCAGTGGACAACTGAACCAGTGGACAACTGAACCAGTGACAACTGAACCAGTGACAACTGAACCAGTATGGCAACTGAACTAGTGGACGACTGAACCAGCGGACAACTGAACCAGAAACAACTAATGTCGTACCTACTGCGGCCTGCGCTGTATAGGTATAAGGTAGCGCGTGGCTGGGCGGACGGTCTGTGCCAATCTGCCGGTCTGCCAATTGATCTGTGTCCGATCTATTAGAGTGTCCGTCCGAGAGCCGCACGACGGCTGACAGGGCTGACAGAGCCTGGTGGTCGCGAGCTGAGTGCTGTTCATGGACACCTGCGGTAACTGCGGTAGCTGCGGTAGATCGCAGGCTGTAAGTCCCGCCCACTTGTGCGCACGTCATCACGCGTTCGTCTGAGGCGGCCGTGTCAATTTTCCGCCCAAGTTACACGAATGCGCAACTGCCGCGCCACTTTGCATGACAAATGGTTCCTGCGGCCGCTGCGGTTGGATCGTTTCGACCGCAGGAGACGCAGGCGACCGCAGCCGGCCGCAGCCGTATGACGTCACACCACCCGCCCCATCCCCACTTTCTGTGACGTCATTACCCGGCTGACCGCCGAGCCGCAGCTACCGCAGGTGCCCGTGAACAGCACTCTGGTGTGGTTACCGTTACGCCTGCACTTGGGACGCCCGAATAGTTAGCAACGTATAAACAATATTCACTTTGATGGCCTAACTCGGGACAGACAGGGCACGCAACGTGGGCTTGGCAGAGTTCAGCCCGCCTGGGCCCAGAGGAATCTCCGGTATATAAATGGATTCACTGCTCGGGCTTACATCGGGCTTACGCCAAACGTCGCACAACTAGGGCTAAACAACGGCTGTCCTGAGCTCGCCGAGAGGCCCAGATGGCATACCTCCGGCAGAGCATTGGCTTTAGTCGGCGTTTTTGTGTCATACGCCGACTTTAGTCTTTAGCCCAAGCGCTAACCGACTTTAGCCCGACTAAAAATATCGGGCAAGCCGCACTCCAGCCTGCTTAGGCCCGGAGTAAAATTGCTTGCTGGGCTACTGGTTAGTGGTTCTGTTGTCACTGGTTCAGTTGTCACTGGTTCAGTTGTCACTGGTTCAGTTGTCCACTGGTTCAGTTGTCACTGGTTCAGTTGTCACTGGTTCAGTTGTCACTGGTTCAGTTGTCACTGGTTCAGTTGTCACTGGTTCAGTTGTCACTGGTTCAGTTGTCTACTGGTTCAGTTGTCCACTGGTTCAGTTGTCCACTGGTTCAGTTGTCCACTGGTTCAGTTGTCACTGGTTCAGTTGTCCCTGGTTCAGTTGTCACTGGTTCAGTTGTCACTGGTTCAGTTGTCCCTGGTTCAGTTGTCACTGGTTCAGTTGTCCCTGGTTCAGCTGTCACTGGTTCAGTTGTCCCTGATTCAGTTGTCACTGGTTCAGTTGTCCTGGTTCAGTTGTCACTGGTTCAGTTGTCATGGAACCGTGGATGTCAATGAAAGCGTGTCTGCGCCGTTGCCAGTGATTCAGAAAAGTCGTGTCCATATCCCTCTATTTGTTGCTGCCATATGAGACGAATCTGACTGATAAAATACATAACTGGCGCAGTCAACATTTCTTCGCCACGTGTGTTGACCGTGTTAGATTTTATTGTTTTTACTTTTATTTTGGAATATCGTTGGTTGTATCTTGTTCGTTTTGACATTTTTTTTTAATGTTTGTGTTATGTTTGGATTTTGTTGAATTGTTCCCCCAACAAGTAACAACAAGTGAGTAAATCAACAAATAAATGCAGGGATAACCTTGACCTTTCTTAACCCTCGCCCGCACATGGGGGGGGGGGGGGTGGTTGCCACCCCCCCAGGCAGTCTTTCTGCTCTGCACTCAACATTTTTAGAGCTAGAAGGCTGATTTTTCGTATAGCTGCTCGTCTATCCTTTCTTGATGTCCACTGAAAATTTCAAGTTTCTGTGATTTTTGGTTTCGGAGATATGACCTTGTTTTTCAGGTCATGTCATGACCCAAATGGCCAATTCTCAACATCTTGCGTTTGCCATGGGCCTTGTGAGCTTTTGACACCCTGATTTCGGCCTTTTTTGCCAGTCTTACCTCCCACCTATCATGGAACATGTTGTTCGACGATGTACAGGGGTCAAGGTCAGGGTCAAGGTCAACCTAGGTCATTTAAGATAATTGCGTTTTAGGCAAGCTGAATTTACTTTTTGTGAAGTTTTTTTGACTGCATTTTTGGTAAAAGCTTCTCAGATCATGATTTCATGTGATATGGACCCAAAAACAATCGGTGCACACATCAGTATACACACAGACACACACAGACATACAAACACTTATAATTGACCTTGACCTAACTTGACCTGAAATGACCTCAGCAGCAAAATTCTGGTCGGATAGTGTGACAAAGAGGTTCTAGCTGGCTTGGCACCAGAAAACAGCATCGTCATCGGTATTTGCTAAGCAGCGCACTTGATATCCAACGGTGACCCAAAACAGCAACATTTTTTAGTTTGACCTGACCTGGAAGGTCAATGACTGACCTGAGAAGGTAAAACTGGGTATCATTGGATTCGTCTCTTCCCAAAGAATCTTTTTGGTCTTTACTGCTAAGCTCTATCTCCAACAGGAACGAAATGGCGCGGGGGGGGGGGGTGGCAACCACCCCCCCATGTGCGTTCTAGGATGGGAAAATGGCATGTGCGGGCGAGGGTTAATTATCTTATCTTAAATCATTTAAATGTTTCCCACAGGCCACTGTTGATATGCAATAAATAGTTCATCCATTTTAACAAAGCATTACTTATTATTTACCTGTTGTTCTGCTCGTCTGTTCAAAACAAAAGCTAACATAATGTTGTTTGCTTACCTCAAATAAAACTACTCTCGCCCTATTGTAACTGCTAATTTATGTTCATGTATGCCTTTTCCTCTGCAGTCTTCCTGTCTTCACATCAGCGGCTCCATCATGTTCATCCTAGCCAAACTGCAGGACGTGGTGCGCATCCCTCCGTGGTGGTAGTTCACAAACTGCTCACCGAGGCCATCACCGAGGAGCTGAACTTCAAGCTCTCCAACCGCGTCCTGTACTCGGTGGGCCTGTGTATCGCGCTGCACGACATCGTCAAACTGGAGGAGTCTTCATCCTGCCCGGTGACGGCGCCTCGCACAGTCGCACCACGTTCCGCTACGTGGTGTTCCGGCCGTACGTCGACACGAGGTGCTCACCGGGCGGATCAAGAGCTGCAGCAGCGACGGAGTGCAAGGTAGGTGCGGGAGGGGGGTAATCGGATGGAGTCCGGGTTTGAACGTCTGAGGCTGCCAGCCGTTCGGGCCCTGTTAAAGTGTCTGCGACTGCCGCGGCTCCCGCGGTCAAAAAGGCAGGGCTTAGCTTAGCTAATGGCCTGTCAGGACAGTGTCCCAAATTGTATTTTCGCTTGGGTACTGGAGGGGGAAATTCCTCACCCAAAAGGGGGATAAGAGTGGAATACTGTCAGTCACATAAGGCCCAAAAAGAGTGGGAAAGGAGCAATGGCGAACATTTATAGGTATAAAAGTGTGACAGATTGTAGGATGTAAAATAACCATCCACCCAAATGCTTGCCGTCAGTAAAACTGGGAGTGGAGAATAGCTCTTAAAAAATGGGGACGAGAGTGCAAAATAATTTTCCTTTGGATATCAGCTCTCTCCCAAA